GCCAGGGGCCTCGACCATACCTCCCATCCTTCCGCCTCCTACCTTATTTCCCCCCGTTTCTTTTTTTTTTTTTTTTTTTTTTTGTCTTTTGTCTTTTTCCGTGTCCGGCAACGGATCGCAACCCTCGGTGTTGCCCCCGTACCGGGCCGGGGACCGGCAACGGGATTGCAACCCCCGGTGTCGCTCCCGCGCCTCGCTCAGCCAGTGAGCGGGAACCGGTCTGTATGTGGGATCCGAACCCTCCGTGGGAGCGCGGCCGCGCTTCCCAAGCGGCGCACTATCCAGTGCACCACCAGGCCGGCCCCATTCCCCCCGTTTCTTTTCCCCCTCCCACCCAACTGCTTCCCAACATCTTAGAATGTAAAAGAATAATAATATAAATAAATAAATTTAAAAAACACAAAGAACAAAAATAGCACAAAAGAAAATCTTAAAAAAATCATGAACATAGTTATTCATAGCTTATTATTAATTGCTTTACTTTATTTATTTATTTATTTATTATTCAAAAGATGACCAGTAAGGGGATCCTAACCCTTGACTTGGTGTTGTGAGCCACACACCGGCCGTGCTTTATTTACTTATTTATGGCGGCTCGCAGGTAAGTGCATCCGAACCCTTGACTTTGGTGTTATCGGCACCAGGCGCTCCAAGCGAGCTAACTGGGCAGGCAATAATTGCTTTATACTGATCACAAGGTGAAATGATAATAATTTGGATATAGTGAGTTAAAGAAAATGATATTAAAAGTAATCTTTTTGTAACATGTCTACTAGGAAATTAAAAACTACATACATGACATGTATTAGATTTAATGAAGACTGCTGATCTAGAGCTCCCTCACATGTTTATAGGACTCCTGGGACTGTAAGCACACCCACCAGACACTCACTAAGCCCCACAACTTCCTAGTTTCTAGAATCTACTGAATCTAGAACAGTGGTTCTCAGTGGAGTTATACCACCCTTCTAAAGAGCTTCTAGAAATTTGCCATAGTCATTAGGGTGGGGACAATCCTCTCCAACAAAATTTGCCCTCATCCCACTCAACTTTTGAATGCCCCATCAGACATTTGTGAAGGCGAAAAATCCATTTACAGTTATCTGAGCCTCAAACCCAATTGCGTTGTACATGAGCATTTTGTGTACATTTTAAATTCATACTGATTTTTGCAGAAATCCAACTATCTTATATATCAAGGGAAGACTATTTAATTCTGCATCATGGTGGTTCTACCTATAGGTGCAAGTGTCTGACTAGTCGATTCTGCCTTCCAGAATAATTGTGCCTTGGCATGTTTATTCAAAATATAGATAATATATTATGAAAAACATTCCTTTGATCACTTTCTTATAATTTGGGCATTATAGTGATTTAAAAAATTCTGGGTAGGCAGCTTGTTAAACCTATGCATTTTATTTCAGGATGAATTAAGGAGATATTACAAAATATTTGCTATAATGAAGGGGCACAGGGCCTGACCGGGTTGAGGACCACTGATCTGGACCTTGTTCTGGGCTCTAGGCTCCAAAGGTCCTCTGCCTCTGTCGTTCAGCGGCCCTTTCCCCAGAGTTCAGAACAGCAGAGCGGGCAGCCTACAGACAATTCCGAGGTCCCGAGCCAGCTGTTCTTCAGGAACTAATGACCAAGTGGGTAGCCCGGGCAGGGACGGTGGAGGGACCCTGGGTTGAGCTGGGAGCCCGGACTCCTGGGTCCTGAGAGAGGAGAGGGCTGGGAGCATGACCTGGGCCTCACTGCTGAGGACTTTGTTCTGGGGCGAAGGCTTCCGCTCACCTGAGTCTGGAGCCCTCCCGGAAGAGCTCGTCGTTGGAGCCCCTTCGGCCCCGGGGTGGCAGCAGCGCCGCCACCTGTCTGCTCTTGGCCTCCAGGTTGGCCAGGTAGACGACGAGAAAGTCCCCGGCGCCGCCGGGACCCTCGGGGCCGCCTCCGCTGGCCGCCCGCCGAGCTTGCGCCACTTCTCGCAGTAGCTGCGCTGTGCGGGGCAGCAGGTCCCGCAGCGAGGGGGGACTCAAGGCCATCCGGGGGTCCCCGCATTGCTCTTCCAGGAGCTTCAGCAGCCTCAGCGCCCGGCCCAGCGCGCGGGGCTCTTCCCACCGTCGCCCCCGAGGAACCACCGCCGCAGCCATGGGTCCCTCGGGAGTCCTGGGAGGGACGGGAGCGGCTGGCAGAGGCGGGGCCAGGCGCAGGGTGGAAGGAGGGGGCGGGCCCTGGAGAACGGGGAGGGGCCTGCGGGCACCTGTGTCCCCGAAGGGGGCGGGGCTGGGGCGGGGCTGGGGCATCGGGCCCCTGGGTTCCCTAGGGGTGGGGTTTGGGTCTGATTCCCAGAAGAGAGCAGGGTGCGGTGGCTTTCGTGGGTGGGGATAGGAGAGGACTCCTGGGTGGGGGGGAATTGCAGGTAGGAGGCCTGGGTCCCTTCAGGGAAGGGAGAGGGCTGAGGGGGGCTGAGGGGAGTCCTGAGACTTTCGCTGGGTGGGGGAGGGGGTGCTGGGAGTTTAGCTATTTAGACCCGACTGGGAGGTGGGACTGGAGTCTCGGTTGAACGTGTGGGTCTTTGGTGGTGGCATGGGATTCAAGGTCAGAGAACTGAGGCATTTTAGGAGGAAAAGGTCAGGGAGGTAGTGTCATCTCTCTGTCCCCGAGAAGGAAGGTGCAGAGCGACCGGATCCCTGGGTCCCCTTACGAGCAGGGGTTGGGAAGTGGGTGTCTGAGGGGCTAGGAATTTGGCAACCGTGCTCCTGGGTCCTCATGGCGAGGGGACTGCGGGAAATCATGCTGGGGTTTAGACACCCAGATGGCCAAAGGAGGCAGACCCCTGGCTCCCAAAGGGGCGAGGCGGGAAGGTGGAGTCCGAGAATGCGGGGCCGGGGAGCGGCTCGTCAGCTCAGGGATGCCAGGGCGTGGTTTGCACCCCAACCTGCGAAACCTGTCCCATCAGCCCAGTCCTGGCCGCTCGCTGGGCAGCCACCCAGGGGCGCTGTGGGCCGGGCGGTCCCTACGCCCAGAGGCACCCAGGCCACGCCCCCGCAGACCAGGGTTTTTTTTTTTTTTAATTTTTATTGAATCGTGATTGATTATACACATTTTTGGGGTTCAACGTTGACATATTTTGATCCAATCAATATTACTAGCATATATAGTTACAAATCGTATTGACTTTTTATGCCCCTTGTTCACTCTCTCCCCACCCCCTCTCCCTCCCACCTCCCCCCAGGCCAAGTTCTGAAGAATTTCAGCTCAGAGAACACTAGGAATCCCTAACGCTTACTGAACACCCGCCCTTTGCCATGCCCTGTGGGTCAGGCCTTACGAACATTTCCTCAGATTGCTCATAAACCTTTTGAGGTGGGAGGGGAGAGAGCTTCGATGAAGAGCTGAACCTCTGTCGCACCCCACCGCCCTCCCAGCCCCACCCCCATCTCACTGAACCCGAGAATATTTCACTTACGGAATCTTTGATGTTGGATCTCAGACTAAGCAGAGACCGGGTCCTTGCGGTCAGGGTGGCGGAGTCTGCCCCCCAGCTCCTGGCCTTCCTGCCCTTTTTGAGCCTCAGTTTCCTCACCTGAAAACAGGATGAAAACCCATCGGCCTGGCAAAAGTTCAAACTTTTAACTATGCTGAGCGCTGGCGAGGGGCTGGTTCGAGTGTAAATGGGCGAACTACATTGCAGAGCAATTCGGCAGCATCCATGAAGCCTCTGGACAAATGGACAGGGCATTTGCCTGCTGCCTCCGTCAGAGCTGTGGCTTATAAACACTTTTGCTCGCATCGGTACATCAATACGGGTGCAGACACTTGAAACAAAAGTTTCACAGCATAGCCCTTACCCAGACTATGTCCATGCACTCTAATATCTTCTGTTTAATTCCATTTCATTAAAGGAAAAGTAGTGTTGGCAACCCACTAAATTGATTTCAGAACCCATTAATGGATCTTGTTGGCAATTTGAAAAATACTGCCCTGAGAAACTCTAAGAGACATGTTCAGTGATATTAATTGCAGTCTTGTTGGAAATGGAGCGAAGTAGGAACAAGGTAAGTGTCCATCACCAGAAGGGATGAATAAACTGTGGTACACTCTTACAATGGATTCCTGCCCAGGAGTCAAGATGAATGAGCTAGACACAAATACCAGTAGCGTGAGTCAGAAAACCATCACGATGAGTACACTGGGTTGAATACTACACCCCGCCCCAAATTTATGTCCACTGGAACCTATGAATGTGACCATTTTTGGAAAGAGTGTCTTTGCAGATGTAATCATGTTGAGATGAGGTCATACTGGATTAGGATAGTGCTGTGGGTTGTGTGTTCCCCAAAAGTTCATGTATTGGAGACTTGGCCACCATTGTAACCGTGTTAAGAGGGTGGGAAATCCGATTATGGTATTTGAAAGGTGGGGCAGTTGAGAGGTGATTGGATTGTGAGGACTGTGCCCTCCTGAATGGATTAATACATTCATGGAATAATGAGTTATCACAGATGTGGTTCTGGTGGCTTTATAAGGAGAGCAGTGACATGGTTAGCTGCCTCGCCCAGGGCATTCTTGCCGTGTGACACCCTGCGTTGCTGTACAGAGTCACCACCAAGAAGGCCCTCACCAGATGTGTTCCCTAGACTATGGACTTCCAGGCTTCCAAACTGTAAGAAATAAATTTCATTTCTTTATAAATTACCCAGCTTCAGGTATTTTGTTATAAGCAACAGAAAATGGACTAATATACGTGGGTCCTAAATTTAATATGACTGGTGTCCTTATAAGAAGAAAATCTAGACACAGACACAGGTGCACACAAACACAGGGAGAACACGATGTGATGAGGAAGGCAGAGACTAGAATGATGCGTCTATAAACCAAGAGATGTTGACGATTTTGAGGATTGCTGGCAGACATCGGAAGCTAGGAAGGGGCAAGGAAGGATCCTCCCCTACAGCCTTCAGAGAGAGCATGGCCCTGCTGACAATTTGATTTTTGACTGCTAGCCTCCTGGACTGTGACAGAATAAGTTTCTGTTATTTTATTTATTTCTTTTTTTTGGTGGCTGACCTTGGTGTTATAATGCCATGCTCTATTTTCTCAACCAACTCGAACTTCCGTTATTATTTTTTATTTTTTTATTTTTTAAAAAGATGACCGGTAAGGGGATCTCAACCCTTGACTTGGTGTTGTCAGCACCACGCTCAGCCATTGAGCCAACCGGCCATCCCTATATGGGATCCGAACCCGTGGCCTTGGTGTTGTCAGCACCGCACTCTCCCATTGAGCCAACCGGCCATCCCTATATGGGATCCGAACCCGTGGCCTTGGTGTTGT